TCCCGGTAAGTTTTCTTGGCTTCCGCGGGTCCCGGGACAGGAGAATTTGGCCAAAAGACATCCCTTTTGTATCAAAAGAACAATGGATGAAGAATGTTTCATATGCAGATAAGAAAATTATGTGAAATAGCTAGTTTCCCCTCAGTTCCTATCACAGCAATAAGAGAGAAATTGTACATATGGATCAGTTTTCTTAGGAGAATAAAAGACAGCTTGGGAAGACAAGAAAAGGTCCGTATGGAAGGGCAGACACTGTATCTGGAGTCTTTGAGCATACGTGATACTCATGTTAAAAGCAGGTGGGATATTAGTTCAGAGCTGTCTTGAGATTCAGATGCAGTCTTAAATTTGAAGTAAGCGAGTAGAATCCGAACAATTTGTATTGTTAGAAAACTTAAAGTTTCCACACAAATAAAATTGTTGGAGATATGTTTGTCCAAAATATGAGTTTCTTAAACTTTTAATAGGCACTAGCAATTGGGGCTTTCCCTAGGGGGTGCCAAATCAGGGCAACTTCCCTGGGCCCTGTGCTTTGGGGAGCCCTGCAGATAGTCCCGTACAGGCCCTGCTGCAGCCACCACATGCTGCCCCTGCCCAGTAATGCCGGCTTTAGCCTCTTGCCACACCCTCCATCTCCACCGGTTCTGGCCGCTTGCCATTGCCACCCCCTGCTCCACTGGCTCCAGCTGCTCGCCACACCTTCCTGTTCCCCCCACCCACCCCCGGGCCCCACACAGACTGATATGCCCTGGGCCCTGCACACCCCTAGGGATGGCTCTGCTAGCAGTTATACTCTTCAGTTGAATAGTTTCAATTGTGGCTATTTATGCCAAGATTTTGAAATCTGTTGTGTGTATGTACACTGTTAGCGGGTCTGTGCGAAATGGCTATGTTGTGATTTGGTTTCTGTTTCGGATTCAGCTGTTTTGGAGGACAGCGATTCGTTTAGGTGTTTCAGATCACTATCCTGTTTTGTTTTGGCTGAATCTGTTTGAGACAGACACAAGGGAAGCTTTGCACAGCCCTATCCTGCCAGGCAGGGCTTGGGCCCGGAGGCTGCAGGGCCCCAGTGGGGAGCAGAACGGGACTGTAGGTGGCTTGTCTGGGGGAGAGCCACTGCCCTCCATGCAGGTGAGGAGGCTCCCGTGCAGATCTCTGATCCCTGTCACGCTGGGTCGCGGGGCAGGGAAGTAGCACAGAGCAGTGAGCAAGCCTGCTGGTCCCTACCACATAACTCAGCTCCACAGGGAGCAGAGTTCCACACTGGGGTCTCCTTGCCACTGCCTGCCCCACACTGCACTGGTGAAGTGGGGCTGTGTGGAGCAGGCAGCAGCAGCGAGGAGACCCTGGCATGGATCTCTTCTCCCTGCAGAGCCAGATTGCATGGCAGGGATTGCCCAGCCCCTGGGTCAGTGCCCTTGGATCTGCATGCCAGGTTTCAGCAGGCTGCCGCTGCAGGCTGACAGCACCACAGTCTTCTCAGTGCTTGGTGCGGGCTGTACCACACAGCTGCTGCTGGCCCCAGCCTGCAGTGGCAGCCTGCTGAAACCCCATATGCAGATCAGGAGCCCACACCCCCTGGGAAGAGCTGGGGAAATTATCAGAAAGCCGAGGAATCGAACCAGGAGCTAGATGTCAATATGAGGGCAGTCCTCTCCCAGCTCTTAGTTTTTGTTTCCCTGCAAGCTTGGCTCCAAAATTCTCCAAAACATTTCGGAACCTTCTGATTCATTTTGGATTCGGTGTTTTGGGCACTGAAATGGTCAGAAACACCTCCGAAACGAAACGGGTGCTGAAATTTCGCACAGCCCTAACTTAGTATTTCTTCTATTCTTTCTGCCCACATACAGACAAATATCTACTCTATTCAGGGTGTGATATTTTTCTATTGGCAAAAATACAACAGGAGAAACATTCTTTTCTTCTATACTAAACAGGTTGTGGTATTGCTGATTAAACTAACTGGTTCATTCAGACCCAACTTCATACTGTAACAGATCTGCTAAGGAATTAATTTAATTCCCAGATCTCTTGTATAAGTTCATCAGGTCTCTTTACATACTGTCAAGAGTGTCTTGGATTTTTTTTGTCTAAATTGTGTTACAGCATTTTAAATTAGAGTATTTGTGTAATTTAGACCCATGAAGAAAATCACTATAGGAATAAAGAATTAATGATTATGTTACACTTACTGTTTTACATAAAGTATTTATTCCGGAAAGTCTGATTTGCCTAATGTATTACAGTGTATCCTCTTCTGTTCTGAAAGGTTATCCAGTTACTTTATTCAATTTTATTAATTCATATTCTTTTCACTGCACCAGTGTTATTCTTTGATAGTTGAGTTTCTGCTGTTTACAATGTGATTTGAAATTCATTTGACATCACTGGAAGAAAAATCCCTGGAGTATTTCAGTATTTGTGGAGTGAATGTCTAAGTGATGAACATAGCTATTTATATTAATCCACATTTTTTTCAGTTTTAAGACTATCATCGCCTATATTGATGACCAATTTGAGCGGTATCTGCATGATGAGAGTGGCCTGAACAGACGGCATATTATAGATAACCGTGTCCATTGCTGTTTTTACTTCATTTCACCGTTTGGTCATGGGTAGGTATTTCTGTGCCCTTTTTAGAATTCTTTTTGCTTCACAAGGGGTTGGGCTTCATTCATGCTGCTAACTATTTTCAAGATGAGGCCAGATGAGTTACGTATACCCTAGAAAACTACCAGTTTTTTAAGAGATGAATTTACCTTGGGAAGTGGTAGGGGTTGAGGATATTTCTGGATGGTGAGTATAAAATTGTAATTTTTTTGCAAGAAGTGGGGTTTTGTCTTTTTGTTTTTTTAAACAACAAAAAATACCCCTTTTTGAGATCTCTTCTATGTTCCTCTGTGTGAAAAGTCATTGTGATTTCTGTTCTTGGACCAACTGCATAGTTAGGAGAGCTGTTGGACAAACTTTTGGGTGCCTTTTCTCATAAAAATCCTTGCCTTGGACACTTCTTGGACCATAACTACAATAGGACCCCAACCCTACTGAAAATACATTGGCCTTTAAATACTTGAAACATTTTAAATTTTATTTTTAGACTTAAGCCCTTGGATGTTGAATTCATGAAAGCCATACACAACAAGGTGAATATTGTACCTGTAATTGCAAAAGCCGATACGCTTACCTTGAAGGAACGGGAAAGACTGAAAAGAAGAGTAAGTACAAATTTTGCTTGTGGGGAAGTATAAAAATGATTTTCAGTCATAGGGGTACAAATAAGCAAGGAGGCATATTTTTGTCATGTCCCAGCCAAAAGAGTGTTCTCCAATAATATTGTACAGACATAATACAATGGGACTTAAAAGTTTTTCCAGAAAGCCTACGCAGCCTTCACTATATGGGGAGTCTCTGACCATTTACTTAATTGAGGAATTATCCTTTAAACCAGAGTGTGACGCAGCAAGCTCAGGGCTGAGTTTCAAGTCAGCCCGCCTGCCTGTCTGTAGGGCAGTCCACCCAGTCTTACCTGCCACGACTTTGCTGTAACAATGAATTGGTGGTAAATGTGGGATGCTGTTTATTACGTGTCCCAATGCCAGGGCTATCAACAGCTCTGTACTATCCCTACACCATGGCCCATGCCTCGCAGGTGACATCTAATATGTCACTATGCTGCCAGCCTTAGTTGTATGTCATGTCTCATTCACTTACACACTCATACTGCCCCCATCTCACGGGGGCCTCTTGCACTCCACCCTCTCACAGGGTCTCTTGCCCACTGCACAATACTGTGCTCCCTTCACTCTGCCCTGCTTCCTTTAGCGGCCCTGTAGGCCATCAGGCTTATCCAAGTCACACCTCAGTTAGTGACATATGTAGTCTTTTGGGCCTCTTCTACAACCCTCACCTGGGTAGTGGCCAGCTGATTCACCAGATGGAGGGCTAACTCCACCCTAGCCCCTCACCGGGCTTCTCGTACCCTACAACTCTATCTCATTGGGGTTGGCCCATCTGCTGCCCTTCTGGCCATCCTATGACCTTACTCAGCACACCCCCTTGGGCTGCCCTTCAGGCTGACCCTCAGCTCTACTCAACCCCTGTCAGGGCCTTCACTGCCGCCCCCTCTCTGGGTGTGCACAACTATCCCCTCCCTGGGGCCTCCGAGGTCTTTCAACCCTGTGGGTTCAAGTGGCCACAGCCATGCCTGGCCCGCTTACCCGCAGTGCTGTGGGGGCTGGGGTTATTAAAGCGTCTCAACATGCCTTTCACCAGGGAGGTTAAGCAGCCCTGGTATTTGAGTGGGGCTGCCACACCACCGGCAGTCCCCCCAGGCCTCCGTTCCCTGGCAGGGTGCAGTTTTTAGGTTATGCCCAGGACCAGGAGCCTCCAAACCATCCCCATAGCTCCTTCCCTTACCTCCAGGATGTTCCACACCTCAAGGGAGCTAGATGGTGCTGCTCCCTCGGCTGCAAGCAGCTAACTGCTGTGTCTGCCTGGTTGACCTTTGTTTGAAAATAGCCGCCTTAATCAGGCACCTGTCGGCTGCCTGCTCCAGCCCTTAAAGTGGAAGGCACCGAAGCTCGATTGCCACACAGTGGTTCTTAACCTCTTTAGATTTGAGGTACCTCTTGATAGACTTGAGGCACCCCTCCTAGTTTTCACTCTTTTTTGACTACTGAAAAATGAGAGCAATTCTTCTGCTGCAAAGAACTCAGAAAATCTGTAGTACGTCAGAATGTTTTTGATGCTGTGGATTCCTCTTTGAAATCTCTGGGTTTGTCACGTGAATCATGTTTGTACACCTACCAGAGCTAACATTGCCTGGTACTCCACAGCAGCCTTGAAAAGATCTCAAGGCATCCCAGGATTTCATAGAATGCTAGTTGAGAATCACTGCTTTTAAACATTTTCAGTAACCCTTAGATTGACTGTATAAATATTGCTAAAAAGATTTTCTGCATTTCTGGGGATTGATTAAAGCTGCATGCTGGAAGAATTAATTAGCTCTAAACAAATTCTCTGTCTCTTATTAAAGTAGGAGACCTGCATTATCACTGGAGAGAAAAGCATCTGACTCTCAGTAGCTATTTTGCAGTTTATGCTGTAATTTATGTGGTTTGTTCTTTTTTTTTTGTCTTGCTCATTATAAGTTTTATTTTATCTATCCTACCCTATCCTAGACACAATTTTGGATTATCCCACTATTGAAAAGCTTAAATACTTGATTTACTAAGCATAAACTAACCAATAGCTAATTATACCAAGCATTATAAAGTTAATGTATTTAACGTGTTAGGATGTTCTGTGGGTGCAGTCATGAATTTAAACACCTTTCTCCTTCTGTTTCCAAGTTGTTGTTGTTTTTGGGAGGGAGTGGGAGTTGTAACTACTTTCAGTTTCTTTTGCATTCTGTACAGGTGCTGCTGAAATTTCGTAAACTTAATATCTTTATTGAAAGGTGCAAGAATAGTGAAATTCAACGGTAGTTGTTGCTCTTACACTGTGCTTTCTCCTCTGTCTGAATAATTAATCTTGCTCTTAATGTTTTTGGGAACAGTAAATAGTTCTAAGTTCTGTTTAAAATAGATGCTTTGGTTTTTCAGAAATTTTGAATTATACATTTTTTCCGTCTTAAAATTCTTAAAAATTGACCTTAAAAGTGTGGAGTACTTAAGTAGACATGGTTAACTTAACCTATTGATATTGTCATGGGAGGGCAGTGGAATTTAGTATTTTGAAAGGGGGAGGGTGATACAGATGGTGGTGCATCATCATGTAACACAGTACAGTTTTCCCATTAAAAAGAAACAAGAAGTTTAATAATATTATAATATTAATAATAACAATATTTAATAAATAACAAGAAGTTTCAATACTGGCAAGTGCAGGATGCTACACTTGGGCAGTAGTAACCAGCAGCACACTTATAAGATGGGAAACTCCCTTCTTGAGAGCATGGAGGCAGAAAGGGATCTTGGAGTCATTACTGACTCCAAGATGAACATGGGCCAACAATGCAAGTTCATAGTTGGCAGGGCTAACTGGACCTTGTCATGCATCCAGAGGTGCATCTCTAGTAGGGCGAAGGAGGTGATCCTCCCCCTCTACATGACACTGGTCAGGCCACAGCTGGAGTACTGTGTCCAGTTCTGTGCGCCCCACTTCAGGAAGGATGTGGACAACATTGAGAGGGTCCAGAGGAGGGCCATCCGCATGATCCGGGGACAACAGGGCAGACCCTACAGCAAGAGACTGCGGGACCTGAACCTGTTCAGCCTTCACAAGAGAAGGCTGAGGGGGGACCTGGTGACCATCTATAAACTCACTAGGGGGGACCAGAAGGGTTCGGGAGAGACCTTGTTTCCCCTAGCGCCCCCTGGCATAACAAGGAATAATGTCCACAAATCGTTGGAGAGTAGGTTTAGATTAGACATCCATAAGAACTACTTGACTGTCAGGGGGGCTAGGATCTGGACCCAACTTCCAAGGGAAGTGGTGCTGGCTCCTACCCTGGGGGTCTTTAAGAAGAGGCTTGATGCCTACCTGGCTGGAGTCATTTGAGCCCAGTTTTTCTCCTGCCCAGGCAGGGGGTCGGACTTGAAGATCTACAAGGTCCCTTCCAGCCCTACTTCTATGATTCTGTGAATATGCTAGGCCCCTAGGACAGCATTATTCAGTTTAAGATTCAAGGAAAAGTGACTATAACAGGGTTTAGGGGAGAGCTAGATACTACCTTCATTTGGTGCCAGATGGTTACCCCTATTCCACACTATGAACAGAACTATTCCCTGCACCCTCCCCCATGGGTATACTCCATGGCCTGGCCCCAAAATGCTCGTCAGTGCCTTTTTATGCATTGTTCTTGCCCTCTCAAATCCCCCCCCCAGGTCCAGCGTGTCCCCTGTTATTCTACAAGTCCTCCACTCCCCCACCACCACTCCCAGCTCAGTTCTGGCCCATCATGCCCCAAGCCACATCAAACCCCACCCTTCTCCCTCATGCTCCACTGAGTCTTACCCTGTCCCCATGAACACACTGCACCCTACAGAGACCCATCCCCCATCATACACCAGCCTCCCTGACCCCTCATCACCCCTCTGAGCCCTCCCCCTGAGCACCCAGACCCCTCAATTCCTTGATACCCCAGCCTCTTCTTAGTCCACACCCCTCTACTACACAGGCCTCCATTCCCCTGAAAGCCCCTTGGTGCCTTTCACTTCACTTCCAGCCCCTCACCATATCCACCTGAGCCTCTTCCCCCTCAGAACTTTTCCAAAAATTTTCCCCACCCCCCATGATCCCCAACCACAAGGTAAGTGGGAGCATAGCTGTAACTGCTGCTGTCCCTCCCAACAGCATGCCCATCATTGGCTTCTACTGCCCTCCACCCTCAACATACAGAAACAAACAGCTGGGCTCCAAGAAGGACTTGCTTCAGCTGCTTACAGCACTCACATCTGAGGAGTTCAAGCCTTCTAGGTCTGTCCATGCCTGCATTTATGCCTCCCACAGCCTCCACCATTTGCTGCAATGAATAACCCAGGAAAGTTCACTGCAATAACTTACCTATTTACATCACCTTTGCAACTTCCTCCTGCCTCTCATTGTTGCACCCCCACGCAGTTCAGCTTATCTTCAGCCCTGCCCCTTTCCTCCCTGTCTCTGATTTGTGGGTTTGAATCCCCTAAGAACAAAGCCACCCAGTGTACCAGGTGTCCTGGTTTTCCATAATAAAATATCACAAATTCTCTGATAAAAATCCAAAAATCCGTGGTTAAAATTATATGCCCCTGTCACAGGGCGGGGACCCAAGAGCAGCCGTGATCTCTCCTGGTGCCCCCTGCCATGCCAAGTTGGCAGTCAAGCACCCTTGTTCTCACCCGCCACGTCTTTGATGATATGTTTTATAAGGGAGGCTGCCTTCTGTCCCCTTGGACACAGTGCTCTTATTTATCCTGGCCCTTGCTTCCCTAGATTGGTTTGGTGCGCTCAGCCTTATGGGCTGTGCGTGGCTCCTACCTCCCCTTATACCACGCCCCAAGCCTCTTGGGTGTACCAGATGTTGAGTCTGTTATTAGTGCCCGTGCCCTCACGGACACTCTCCGGGCCTGTCTTTGCCTAGTGGCCCACACCGGGGCCCTTCTCCATGCCCTCGCCCTCTCAGGGTCTTCCCTCTCTGCCCTCACCCTCTCTGAGGCCTTTGCTCAATAGGGCTCAGGCAGCCTCGGCCTTACCTTGCCCTCAGGACCCCTTTCCGGGTCCTACGCCCCACTGGGGCTTTCCCACAATTGGGACTCAGGCAGCCTTGGCCTTACCTGGCCCTCAGACCCCCTTTCCGGGTCCTACGCCCCACTGGGGCTTTGCTCAATAGGGCTCAGGCGGCCTCAGCCTTACCTGGCCCTCACTGCACTGAGCCCCCTTGTCAGGGTTGGGGTCAGTGCACCTCCTAACTACTGTGCCCTTTCTGGCACCAGGAGCCACCCCCCCTGCTATTGGGGAGCTCCCATGAGGCCTCCTCCAACCCCTTATAGCCTCACCCGGTCCTCCAGTGTAACAACAAACAAACAGAATGACATGAGCCAACCGGCTATAACTTAAAGACAAGCCTTATGACTAAAACATAAACTCTGAGCCCTCTAGTCGAGCATCATTTCCATCCCTGCCAGGGGCTCCTCTACCTGGCATCCTCTCTGATAAGTTGCTCAGGCTATCAGGCTTCTCAACTCTGCCTGCTCCTACTGAGCTCCACCTTCCTTGACTGCCAGAGAGGAACTGCCCTGGTCTCAGCCTGGCCTGTTTATATATGCCAGGCCCTGCCCCCTTCTGGTCAGCTGACCCTTGTGGTTGCCCCAGCAACCAGCACCTGTGCTGCTGGGCGACTGGCAGCTGAGCCCATCTTACTGTCTATCAGTAGCAGGCAACTTAGTGCCCTGCCACAGCCCCCAACAGACCTGTTGGTGTCCCTCACTCCACCCTGCAGCCCCCCAGCCCTGCTGGTGCCCTTTGCCCCCAACCCACAGCCTCTGCCCCCCAAGCCATGCTTGAAGGGGTCCCCATCTGCCAGGGCTATGGGGCCAGGGACCCAGGTCTGCAGCCCCTTGCCCCCAGTGGAAGGCAGCAGCTGCTACAGCAGGAGCATGAACCGGCTCCCCCTTGCTGCCTGCTGCAGGCTCTGGCAGGGCTGGCTCCCAGTGGCATTATGCACTTCCAGGGACCGGGGGGCCCACACCCCCCAGATCTGTGTGGGGGGTGGGGGCAGGGCGAGTGTGTGCTGCCCCCGTGCACACAGAGGAAGTGTGGTCAGGGCAGCACAGAGCTTGCAGCGGCAGGCAGCTTTCATGCTTGGCCTGCTGTGTCTTGCCATGCCAGTTGCACATGCTGCGCTCCAGAGGGCCTGAGGGAGGGCAGCAGGATGGGGAGCACAGCATTTGTGACCCAGGGTTTGCAGCTGGACAAGCACTCGGGCCAAGGTAGGCAGGGTTTTCAGCCTCCCCACTCCTGGCCAGAGTGTCTGGCAGGCAGACTGCAACCCTCCCTCCCCCCCTGCTTCCAGCCAGAAAGTGCCCAAGCTGGCTGGGGGCTGAGGGAGCGGGGAGGTTTGTAGGCAGCCAGGCACTCTGGCCAGGGTGGATTGCAGCCTTTCTGCTCCCGGCCAGAGTGGTCAGCCGGTTGCAAACCCCTGCTGCTCCCAGCCAGCTGCAAACTGGAGTGCATGGCCAGGGAGTGCCCAAGCTGGCTGGGGCCTGAGGAAGCGGGGGAGGCTGCAAACCCTGCCTCCTTCCGGCTGGACGCAAACCTCCCCACTCCCTCAGCCCCCAGTCAGCTTGGGCAATCTGCAGCCAGAAGAGGGGGCCTGCAGCTGCCCAGGAGTAGCAGGGGTTTGCAGCTGGCCAAGCACTCTGGCAAGAGCAGGCAGGCTGCAAACCCTCTCCCGGCTGAAGTGCCCAGTTGAGGAGTGCTCAAGCTGGCTGGAGGCTGAGGAGTAGAGAGGTTTGCAGCTGGCCAGGGGAGGGTTTGCAGCTTCCCCACTCCCAGCCAGAGTGCTCAGCCAGCTGCAAACCACCCCCCCCTTGGCCGGGGATTGCCCAAGCTGGCTGGCGGCTGAGGGAGTGGGGAGGTTTGCAGCTGGGTGGGAGCGGTGGGGGTTTACAGCTGGCCGAGCACTCTGGCCAGGAACAGGGAGGCTGCAAACCCCCTCCCAGCTGCAGCTGCAAAACTCCCCAGCTCCCTCAGCCCCTCTCCAGCTTCTCCCCTGCCCCACATCCCCCAAGCCCCTCTTACCTGCAGCAAGAAGTGTGTGCCTGAAGCAGCCTCTGGTAAGTGCAAGTGTCAGGCCCTGCCCTTCCCCGTCTCCCTCCTTCTGCCCCTCAGGGCAGGGTTGGGGCTTTCCTGCCCCTTTTGCAAACAGCTCTTGGAGGCTGGAACTCTGCCAGCCTGCTGGCTCTTTGCAAAAGCAGGGAAATCCGCAGGTTTCTCTGCTAAGAGAAAGACCATGGTTTCTCTTCTAAAAACAGGAAATCCACGTTTTTCTCTGTTTTTCCATGGGAAACGGAAAACAGATACCTGGTAGCGACACACTTTTTTTTTCCCTTGGACAAGCTGTGGCATGAGCAAAGGAACATTACTAGGTATAGATAGTGGACAGGATAATTGTAGAAGAAAGGCTGTCTTGATTAGTTAAAGACCAAAAGTTGTACACTGTGGAGTGAAGAGACTAGCAAGAATCAAGTAGGTACTATGCCATGAAGTTCCATCTCTGCTTGAAGAAAAATGTGGCTGTCCCTGACACTTTGTTTACACTAGGACTAGAGCAGGAATCAAAGGTGAGTGCAACTGCACCACCAAACAGGTCCCCCTCCCCACCTCACTCCCTCTTTTGCTCCTGGATATTGCCATTTTCCTGTAAACAAATCCTCAATCTTGTTTTATAACATTGGTTGTCTATCACTTTCATAGGAACAGAAATAAGTTTAAACATGCTTTTAAGGTGTCTAGATAAACACTTTATTTTAACTTACATTTGGTTATCCACCAAGTCCCTTGCTTTGCTTGCTGCCTATGCAGCATGGATTTTTGTTCTTTGCCTCCTTACTTGAAGAGGAAAGTTTTCTAAAACAAAACAGGAGCCAAATGACAAGGACATTTAGTTGGAAACAACAATGAAAGGAATCTTCTCAGAAGAAGAATTGAATGTGACACTTTAAAATCTGTGTTGCCCAAAAACAGAAAGTAGACTTTTGAAAATAGTAAGATGGTAGAATAGGGAGAAACAGTATTGTCCAGCTTGTCCCAAATATAAAGGGGAGGGGAATAGCTGGGTGCGTAATATGATAGAGTGGGAGTAATTTTAAATGCGAAAATCAAACCAGTAATTTTTAATTATTAAAAAAAACAAGCAAAAGAAAATCCAAGCTTCCTCAGAAAATGTCTTGCCTATCTATGAGTTACTTTCACTGAAAATTAAAGATCTGCCTTGCCAGGTATGTTTTTTTGCTCATCTTGTATTCTGTTTCAGATTCTGGATGAAATTGAGGAACATGGTATCAAGATTTACCACTTGCCTGATGCAGAGTCAGATGAGGATGAGGATTTTAAAGAACAGACCAGACTTCTAAAGGTAAAAATACATAAATAGATGTGAAAAAAGCATGCAAGCTGGGAATTGTTTATCACAGGGGTTGTCACATGCATACCCCTGGGGGTATTTTAAAAGGCCCCGGGTGTACACAGGGGTGGGCAGGGATGGAGCGCCACCACCCCGCGCTGCTCTCTCACAGGAGCAGGGCCAGGCCAGGCCAGGGCAAGAGCAGGGCTGCACAGACACTGCGCTACCGCTGCTCCGCCACTTGCCACGGCAACCTTCCCCCCCCCCCCCCAACCGCCCCCCCCTCCCCCCCCCCCCCCCCTTTCCCCGGCAACCTTCCCCCCCCCCCCCCAACCGCCCCCCCCTCCCCCCCCCCCCCCCCTTTCCCCGGCAACCTTCCCCCCCCCCCCCCAACCGCCCCCCCCTCCCCCCCCCCCCCCCCTTTCCCCGGCAACCTTCCCCCCCCCCCCCCAAGCGTCCAGCCTGTCACCACTCCCACCACCCATCACAGGGGGGTACACCTGGTTTATCATGTTTTCTGTGAGAATTTCCAAGCTGTCTTAATAAAAGTGCAGATCTTACTTTTGATTATTTTTTTTGGTTGCTTGATCTTGAGTAAACATGCAAATGCGTGACACTTTATAGAAAATTGACTTGACTGTATAGTAAAAGTAAAATGGATGCCGGATGCACAGCTGTACTATGTCGTAAATCACTTGAGTCCTGGGTAAAGTTACCTTTTAAAATGTGTAAAACTTTACTATTTGAGAGTGTTACTAAGTAGAACTTGTATATCTGCTCCCCTAGTCGGTTTCTGCTGAGGCAGGTGTTTGATCAAATGCAGATAAGCTACTCTTCTCCCTAGTGGCCCTGCCCTGTAATAACACCCTTCTGTGGAGAGTTAGATTTGGAAGAGCTAGTTTGAGTCTGCTGCTTACCCTGTATTTTACTTCATAGTAAGTTACACTGTAGTAAAGTAAAGTGCATCCTCACCCTAAGGTATGTTACCTCTCTGCCCAAGTTCGCCCATGTGGAAAATGAAAACAATATTTACCATCCTCTGGAAAATAGGTTGAAATCTAGAGATGAAATAACAATAAGCTTTTATGTAGTCTTTTCTTACTTTGCTTGCAGACACTTAAATTATTCTTGGATGCACTTTGGTCCTAGTTCACTCATTCTTGGTAACTCTCAATTTTCAGACCAGTATTCCATTTTGTGTAGTGGGATCAAATCAGTTGATTGAAGCCAAAGGTAAAAAAGTTAGAGGTCGTCTCTACCCTTGGGGGGTAGTTGAAGTGGAGAACCCTGAACATAATGACTTCTTGAAGCTGAGAACCATGCTAATGTAAGTGACTGCATATCCTTAAACTTACTTGCTTTTATAAGACACGAGCTAATACTGGAATACTTTTGTTAAAGTGCTAGGACTCTCAAGGAAGTAGCACAAACCTTCCTGTATATTGGTTTCATATTGGTTTTCATCAAAAATGGTGTCATAATAACTATGCAGGGCTTACCCCTACAAAAAAAAAATTAATAGCTTTTTCTTTGGTGCTTTATGACTCGGTAGTCTTTGAAAGGAGCATCCTTATAACGTCAGACAGGATTTGCACTTGCTTTTCAGGGTTGTCTGTGCTGCTATGTAGAGTTGACATTGCAGTTGCCCTCAGCTGGTCTGGCCCGTGCAGCCGTCCTTCCTTGTGTCATTATATCTTACTGTCCATACCAGAGCTGTGGGTATTTTTTCCATTTTATGAAATACTGTCCCTTTTAAGTATCAGTCTGTTGACAACTTGTCTCTAGTTAATGGGCAGAAGTGAAGTATAGACAGATCTGGAAGTTAAAGGTAGGGAAACCTGGGCTTGTACTGCTGCAGTTTGACAAAGCTTTCAAGTTTGGGCTAGATTACCACCAGAGTTTGAGCTGTCTCAGCATGTATTGACTTAAGGTCAACACTAACTATTGGTCTATGCTCTGAAGGTATGTCTAAGGCCTGGACTATATGGAAAGGTTGTTTCATCATTAACATAACTTAAATTGGTTTTGAAACTGATGCATTTAGACAGGAGCAAACAACTATAAAGACACTCCCTTATTTTGGTAAAACAATGGGGTTATTGATTCAGCTTTAAGCATTCCCAGCAAGGTGTCTGCATGGTCTCCTCTGGAAGTCTTCAAGGGATCATTTGATCTCAGCAGTATTCCTGCCCAAAGCACAGGGGTTGGACTTGATCTTTCGAGGTCCCTTCCAGCCTTTAATATCTATGATTACTCCTATCAGACTTAGCCCTGTTAAATGTTAATCCTGTCATATGATTCTCTGATTCCAAGTGAACTTAAATTTAGGGGTGCACTGATAGATTTTTGGGGCTGATACTGTTAGCCAATTTTTAAGGAAGCGTATTGGCTGATACCAATCCAATTTCTAATACGCAGCCCAGCAGCTTGAAAAGCAGTGTCTGGCTGGTAAGTTTGTTGTGGTAGAAGGGGCAGGGAAAGGGAAGGAGCATAGTGGGTACAGATTTGAGGCCCTGCAGTGAGGGAGGGAGTGGGGCAGGGGCTGGGGCAGGGCACAGGACAGAGCCACAGCTTGTCCAGGGGGTGCAGGCAGCTCCCACTGCTGCACGCACCCTGGGAGGACACGGGGAGGGGGGCATGTGTCCCTGGATCAGTGTGGGGTGAGCTGCCACTGCAGGCTGGGGTGGCGCCAGGCTCTTCCTGAGCCGGGCTGCGCTAGGGGCGGGCAGCAGCAGTTCTGGGAGGGGCATTACAGGAGAGCTGCAGCTATCCCAGAATTTACTGTAGGC